TAAGTACATCAAAATTTAAAAAAAAATTATCTAATAAATAGTTAACCATAAAAAAGAGGGATTCTATTTGAAAAACAGAAGTTTGTATTGACACAGGACATTCCTTAAGTAGTATAAAACATTCAAAATAATAAATTCATTATTAAAGGAAAAATGGGGGTGAGCATRTCTGGTGAATTACCCTATATATGTAGTAATTTTTCTCATTYAGAAGTAAAATTGGAGGGGGGAGGAAACAGAAATGGATTTCGTTTTTCATATGAGGGGTGTAAAGTAGATTTAAAGTTTACAATATCCATTTTTCATAAAAAATGAAACTAATGTCTTGTCATATAAAATTATTATCGCTGAATTCAAATAACACTAAACCCCTATATATATTACACAGTTGTGTATTCTCCTGCACATGTACTTAAAATTTAGAATATTAATGTCAGTAAAGAATGTATCAATGTTTAGATGTTATAACTAATGTATAAGTGATTAATTTTAAAGTATTTATTTGTAATTTTTTGATATGTTGAGTTGTGAATTGTGATTCAACTGTTATTTATAATATCTTTTTTTAATCTTCCAACTTTTGATATATTTATTTGATCAACATTGCATAGTGTAAACAAGGTTTTCCAGGGTAATGGACATATTTAATATAACTCATAGAAGAAAAAATTTTGTTTTAAGCACAAAAAGTAAATTCTTTAACATTTTTTTTTTTTATTACACCATTATATGCTTGTTATGATCAAACTTTAATTAGGTTTAAGGCGTATTACAAGAATAGCAACTGTATAAGTGCGTCCTTTATAGAATTTGATGTAATTTTAGTATGTCAATATTTGATTTCAGGAGTGCTTACGTAGTATTCACCTATTCCAAAAAATGAAAATTATAACCCAAAAACCTTAATGGTGTATAACCGACATTTTGTTTTCAATAATGAAAATGAAATATTTTTTTTTACTTTTGTGAGAATTTTTTTAACTTTTCTATTTCTCTAGAATACTCTTTCTAATGTATGCTTAAAATATTAAAAAGTTAGGTTATAGATTAGTATGTTTACTAGTAAATTATTCATAATTATTTATTTGACAACAGATACAAAAATGGTTCTAAATTTATCTATTAGTAGAATAAGTCAAACATAGTATATTGCATATGAATATAATTTATGTTCCTTATAATTTTTATTAGGTCTGATTCAATAGAGAAATTAAAAATTAGATTACCAACTCTGGAAAGAGAACTTTCAGATCCATCAAAATTCAAAGATTTTTACTATTTTACATTCAATTATGCTAAGAATATAGGTCAAAAAGGGCTAGACCTTGATATGGCTATTACTTACTGGAACATTATTTTTGTGGGGCGATTCAGGTTCCTTGATCTATGGTGCCAATTTCTCAGAGTAAGTGATTAAAATAAAAGTTATAATAGTTCATAATTATAATTTATAATAGATACCTGATGGTTTTGTTTTAAATATTCATGTGAAATATAATTTTAAATTTATGCCTATATAATGCTAATGACATTATATAGGCATATGTCTCATATAGACATATGCTAATATAATGGTTACCTTAGCATTAATCTTTAGATATAAAATTGTGATTTGTAAAATTTATAAAATCTAAATCAATTAATTTAAATTAATTAAGAGGATGTGATACCAGCATGTGTTGTGTYTGTTTTACAAAGGCGTAACATATCAAATTTTTTGTCCWACAGATCACGTTTAGCATTGTGGTAAGATTAATATTCAAACAACCTCATTAGCTTTTTACTGTATTTTAAGATGTACTAAAAATTCACAATTTTAAAATACTTATAACTCGCATCAAAATTAAAATATAGTTAATACATCACAATATTGTCTAAATAATAATCTTAACTAAGTTTTATAAGAGGTCAATTCACTTAAATTTTTAAACTAACAAGCATAGCGTGATCTGTTGAGCGTAAAATGTACTATGTTACGCAATTGTAAAATGAGACAACACATGCAAGTATCACATCCTCTTAAAATCTAATTCTAGTCTATAACGCTTGCTTATTATTCCATACCATAATAATAATTAAACCACTATTTTATTGTTTTTAAATATTTATGAATTACTATTTTTACAGGAACACCATAATAAATCAATACCTAGAGATACGTGGAATCTTTTATTAGAATTTGCTAGTGTTATTGATGAAGAGATGACAGATTATGATCAAGAAGGAGCGTGGCCAGTTCTAATTGATGAATTTGTAGAATGGGCTAGGCCTATAGTTTGTCAAAATAAATCATCCCATATTATAAGTGAGACCAGATTATTGTAAAAATGATTGAACATCGTATATATTATTATATATATGTTTTTAAATTATAATATTAAAAATGTTGATCCTCTGTTTTAAATTTGTTCGAGGGAGAATAATGTATGACTGCTCTACTAAAATATGTACCTTGGGAATATTTTTAAAACATGTTATTTAATTTGTATAGCTTAAATTATATTAACATTATATTCTTTATCTCTTACAAAATTTGGAATTTAATAATTATTGTGTTATTAAAGCTTTAATGAAGATGAAGTAAGTATTTAGGTCTCATTGTTTGTACTTTGTTTGTATAGGTTTTATCATTAATAATTTGTATAAATTTAAATAATATACATTACTGGTTCTGGCTATCAATAACTACAACKTAATTGTAAATTAATTTATTAATATAACATACTTATATACTTATATATTTGAACAAACAGAAAATATACCTCTTTAAACACATTTATTTGAATTAAAATAATGTAATACAATTGGTTACCTATTTTATTTTATTAAAACTTAAATAAGTACTTAAAATTATTTATAAATATTAAAAACATATAATGCAAAAGAAGTTAGAATACATATTGTTAAAAGTCTTATACTTTCACCAGGTTCAATGATAATTGATTAAATATACAATATAGGTATCAATTAGTTTAAATAATTTTATAATATATTATTTATATTTATATTAATGTTAGTATACCCATACATTTTATTACTTAATATGTAAATTGTATTATAGAATTAACACAAGGGTTCAATTTAGCTTTAAATAATAGAGGGTAAAATTAATATTTTAAAATTCAAAAAATTTTGTGAGTTGAAATAATCAACAATCTCAAATTTAATTTAAATCTAAGAATGATCAGGACATTGTGAATATCATTTTGTAATTGATTGTGGAGATCTTATTTTTCAAAAAATGTTCTAAGGGGATAAATGTGTCAGTTACCTAACAGAGTATTATATTATGTAGTCATGTAGAAATATCAACTCAATCATAACTAATTATTAGTGTACTCTAGTATACATTTGATTTCAATGAAGTCATGGCTCACTCTTTGTTATAATCCATTGACAATATTATTAAACTGCTTCAATAACATCTTGTATTTCCTAATTTCTCCTCTTAGTATACTTTTTGATTATTTAGTATTTCGTTGAACGATAAAATTATCACTCAGTCACTCTTTATTACTATTGTATACTTTTAATARAGTTGTATACTTTCTGAATTAAGAAAAAGATTCACATGATTTTCAACATTATTTAATTATTATTTTTTCCATTTTAGATTTTGATGTAATGAACATAATATAAAATATAACAATGTACATACTATTTTACATATATAATTTACTATTTTTGTTATTCTTTTACCTAATAGATTCATTTATTTGCTATTATATAGAAAATTGAAATGTAATTATTTTTGCTATTATAACTTGTAACTTGTAAGATAATAATATATGAACACTTATTTTGATTGTTAAAAATTATTAGGTACTTAATAATTATTTATTGAAACAGTAATCATATACTCATTAAGTACAAGGGATTAAGTATCAACCACTATCACATAGTGATATAATGTACATTTATATGTGTCATGATCAACTAACAACTTATATAACCTATGATCAAACTTAAATGTAAGAATATTATCTAAGCTACCTCATTGGCTTTATTGATATTTTAATTTTAAAATGAACTATTTAGTTAGTCAAATATTGGTTTTTAATGTCTTATACTTTAACATTTACAATTTATCAAAACCTTATGTGATGTACTAAATATTCTTACTTTTAAGAGGGCGTAACGGCAACACCTGTATTTGTTGTCTGTCTTATAAACATGTAACATAGCAAATATATACTAAGCAGTTTACGTTTTATTCCATTAGATTTAAAATAAGAGTGAATAGACCTATTATACAACTTGATGGTACGACTATTATCTGTGTTTTGTAAGAATTTTTTACGATAATTCAGTTTTATGTGAGTTATGAGCATTTTTATTTTACAATTTATTATACATGCATAACTCATTCAAAAACTGAAGTATCTTAAAAAAATTTCTAACGAAACAGATAATGTTCTTACTGTCAAGTTTCATAATAGGTATATTCGATTTAATTTCTAAGCTAACAAAGTAAAATGTTAACTGCTGAACATACATTTACTATTTTTATGCATTTGTAAGACTGAGACATCAAATGCGGGCGTGGCATCCTATTAAGTTTGATGATATTAGAAATGATTACTTTAATATAAAAGAGCAAAAATWATTAGAAAATTGTTTCTGCTGAATCCAAATTTGGTATGATGTTTGTTTGTAAGATGGATTAAGCATTTATGTGGTGTAGCCATGACAAAGTATATATTTATTATATTTTTTCATAGTTGATATATTAAAAAAATGTTACACCTATTTTTTTAATATATGAAGAGTCTATATAGAATCAGTTGTGAATCATTGATTAGCTATTAACTTATAACTTGCAAAAGATATGTATTCAAAGGTTTGATGAAGTTGTTAGTCATAAATTCATAACTTATGTTAGTCCATCACTCCGATGGGCTAACATTACGCTGGTATCTCTACAGAAACTAGTGGTTAATAGGTATTAATTATTATTAACCTAATTTAGGTAATAAGTTACAATGCAATTGACTGAAATCAGTAGCTTAAAACAAAATCAGTCATAATGACATTATGTTTCTGTATTTAAATTATTATGAAAGAAATAAATGATAAAAAATGACAATTCAAGTCACTAAGAGAACTAGACAAGCTACACTAAAACTAGATTAGAGGATAAAACAGATATTGTTTTATTTTTTAGTCTTTATTTTAAATAAGAATAATTTAAATAGTTTCTTGGATATGACTGTGTTTAAAATGCATTTGTCAAAAAATATTTAAATACAAATAATCGCAAATATTGAACAAAACTGCTAATATATGATTTTAATTTTTAACCTCAACTTAATTATTTTATTTCCTAATGTTATAAATTCCATAGTCTAAAAAAATGTAATTAATTTCAAAATAACAATACCTATATATTTGTGTAAAAAAAAAAAGGTTTCCTGGATATTATTTTGTTTGCCTATGAGGACTTGTAAGTGTRGAATGTTKCCTTGTGTACGTTTATTGTTTCAAGTAGATTGCGGATGCAAATTGTATAATCATACAATTGCTTATTTATTTTCTTCTGAATTTAGTAACCCCCACTTTTCTGTATGTTCCAGTAATATAATATGTTGTATCAAAATAGTCAATTAAATCTACATTATATAAAATTTGTAATTACATTCATTAGTAATTAATTTGAATATTAATTATATCTATAAATGTGAAACTATGAAATACCTATATTGCTATATAGGTGTATTATAATATAATTATTATAGATTCAAATTTGATAGAATATTTTATATTTTCGGACTTTTTGTTCAACTTTTTTCAAAATGAACTTTAAGACTGATTAACATAATATATGTACATATATGATTCATGTGTGTATTGGGTATAACTATTCAGTGGTTAAAGTTATGGTCGAGGGTCGAGGAGACGCAATTATGAAACTCAAACACTCAGTCACCYTATTTCTGACTGCTTTTAAAAGTTGACAGTTTCGGTGACTGTTAAATGATTTGTAAAAGAGACCCCCCTCCCTTAGGTTGGCTGATTTTTAATGTGTACAATTTTAATATTGTAAATATAATTTATAGTTATCAGATCTAACACATTGAACAAAAAATTGTCATATCAGGTCCACCCCCCTTCACCCCCTCCCCACAACTACACGTTTGACAAACACTAGTGACTGGTCGGGGTCTTGAAGTTTAATTAAAATAATTTCTCCGTTCAAAATTTGTAAGAATTAATTTTAGACATTTTATCATTTTAGATGTACCTATCTAGTGCTAATAGTTAATAAATTTATTTTATAGCGTTTAGTAGATTGATAAAAATAATAGGCTTATAGTCTCACACCAGTACACTGTACACCACATAAAATAATATTTAGGAATTGTTGAGAAGGCGTTATGATCATAATATTGAGTCATATTTTAATTGATATTATAGTTACAATTTTTTTTAGCAAATTTAATTAATAATTCAACTGACTGGTTAGATATACCCTGTACTTATACGATATTTCATGAAATGAATAAATAATATATTAATATGTTTGCAAATGAAATACACTATAGAACTCATTATATAAAAAAATTCAAATAGCAATTGTACAAAGAATGATAAAATATATCGGATAAAAATTAGGTTAGTCAAACAAAATAAGAAAATGACAAAAAACAAGTGTAGACAATGTAGTTAAGGTACATTTTTCCTGTTGCGACTGTTGCGAGTGAAAACTCGGAGTCACGACACTAAGATGAGACTTGTTTGGCAAAGCAGGTAAATCGTACCTTRTGTCAAAAATAGTTATAAGTACCTAACTTTGTAGAAAAATGGCAGTTAAAAAGTTATCAATATTTTATAATTGTTGTATTTTTTTTTTATATAGTTTATTCAGTTTTTTGTCATTTTTGTCCAGGTACCTCACAGGCATCCACATATACTCAGTGTTTGGAAAGAACGTCGTTCATGAACGCATGTTCAATGTTCATAGTTAGTGAGCGATACCTCAAACGTCACTCGTTTTTTTTTTTTTTTAATAGAACGTGAACGTGAATGCGTTTGTTTGAAAAAAAACACGAACTTGAACGAATTCCTTTTTTTATTGAACGTTCCAAACCGTTATTTGGGCTGCTAACTTAATTTAATCAGCTACCAGTTGCCACTTTTAACTTTATTTTTCTTATAAGTTATAACATTATAAAAGTCTGTTTAAATTGCTGGATGGCTTTRTCCTACTTATTTATCAACCTATTACCTATGGCACACGTGACACGATGCACAACCAATAAAATAAAACCTCAATTTTCCCAACACATAAAATTATAAACTACTACGTACCTATACAGCTATATACTCTCTAAACAGTATAAACATAGTAGAAATTTAAAATAAATTTAAGAGGACGTTGCATTTGAAAAATTTGTTGTCTCCATCATATAAGTTCGTAATAATAAAATTACACTTGGCATTTTATCTTTGTTATTTAAACAATTTAAGTGAATTAACCAATTTTATAAAATTTAATGGTATAAATACAACGCACTATTTGAAAATTCAAAATATTCATATAAGGATGTCGTATTTTATAATATTTATTTATTTTTTATATTATCGTAAAATAGCGATATACGAAAGCAGATAATAAC